AAACGATGCAGAGATTGACAGTGAAGCTTTTACAGCTTCCCGGTGCATCTATACCCGCTACTCAAAGGCTATTTCTATACTCAGAAAGCAAAGTGTGTCATGGGTAAAAAGTCCAGACATCATAACGACTATGACACAAAGCACGGTGCACTGATCTCCAAATCATAGCAAATGCACTGTCAAATTTTTCTGCTACTGCCTCAGGCCTGTGGGAAGGTGACATCTGCCAGTCTGGAAATATTGAGGGCAGGTCGAAGTGGAAAAAACAGGAACAAGTCCCACTTTCTGGGGTTGCCCCCTTTGACCTGCTCCAGTACCAGTCCTCTGCTGGCCACAAGGCCCAGGGACAAGATTGGGTGGTACAGAGTGGTTCAAGGAAATGGTGTGCTTTGGGTGACTGGGGGTTTTGACAGCAGGAAACCCCGCACCACTTGCAGAGCAAACATTAGTACATGTCAGGCCCTGGACATTTCCCTGTCTCATGGAATCATCACAACAATACCATAGCTGATTTTTTTTTTTACTTATTTCTGGTCTTCTATTTGAGATATTAAATAACTATCCTTACAGCCAAGCTCCTAGGAAAAAAGCTGGGTAAAGAGAAAATATCATGGGTTTTGTTCAAAGCCAAGCACTCTCTCACATGAAAGACCCCAGGCCTCCTGACATGTCTGTCGCCTCCCTTACTTGCTACCTTGGACTTGTTTCTATCATCCTGGTTTAAATGCCAAGATACTTGGGACAGGAAAGACAGTAGATTATCCCGTGAACTCATGACTCTGCATGCGTTGTTTCTTGTGCCTCCTACCTGCCCTGCTCTCCTTATTCTCGATGAGAGCTGCTAACTGTCAAGACTCCACCCCTGTGCCACTCCCCTAGAGGCCTCATGGGACTTCTGGAGTGGTAGCATTAGATGCTCTCCTCTGTCCCCATGACACCCTGAAGTATCCAGTGTTTTTTTTTTCTTTAAAACATGAAACAAACAAAAAAATAGGGGCTTTTGCATACAAATGTGGATTTCTAATCTTTGAGTAAACATGGAACATCTGGGAACATTGACCCAATCATCATTTTGAGTCTAGTAGAGGACACAGGACACTCCCTTAAGGAGCTTGTGCTCGTCACCATGGTTCCCACCCCTCCCTATTTTACGTTCATCAGGCCAATTTCTTGGTTTTGTGGTGGCCTGGCTCCTGGGGACATTGGAGTCACTATCTATATAAATGTCTGTCTCCCTAAAGAAAGGAAACCACCATCCCTTAGGGAAGGGCCCCATGGTTTCATTCATGAACAGTCTCTGGCACAAAGCAAGCACCAGAGTAAATACTCTGAGGGATCCCATGGTTGCATTAAGTTTCTGTGATCTTACTTCCATTGAGAGAGTTAGATTACTTTCCAGCCTATGCTAAGGCAATTATTAGTGTCCTGAAAGTTGTGGGCACTTGCTGGCAAGGGGCAGAAATAAAGCACTGCTGATGAGGGAAGGGGTGATGGTTGGGGAGGATGGCTTTCACCCATATCCCTGGATCTTGCTCAGAGCTCAGAATCTCCACATGTACCAACCAGACTCGGAAGCTGGGGAAGCAATCTGTGACCTAAATAAATAAAACTGTGTGTCAAATGATGAGATATCCTTCAAATAGACCCTTTCAAAAGTCCATTTATACATAACACCTGTGATCTACCAGGCAATCTCGAATCTTGTAATTGGGAAAGGCATATGCCAAGAGCATTTACTTAGAAGAAGCTGTGTCAGCCCTAATTAATGACTCCAGAGCAATCAACCGGGCTTCTCTGATTTAAAGCCCCACAGACCAATCCATGTTAATTGAATTTCATTGTATTTGCTATTTTAATTAGTAAGCAAATTATGAAAATGTTTATTTGTTCATGTGGATGCTATTATCCTCTTACTACTGTGGCTTTTTTGCCTTCCACGTGGGCCAAATGTGAGACCTTCCCTTGTTTCCTTGCTCAGATCCTTTAGTTGAAAACTGGTTTTCGATTTGTAAAGGAAGATTAAAAGGTTCAAGTGTCCTAGCTGTTACTTGAATGTGGGGCTCCCTCCAGCAATTTGCCTTCCAGGAGGACCCAAATGCCTTTTATGTCTGAGCAAAAGTTCTAAATCAGAGCTGGTGTCTTTTAGCAAGATCACATCCCTCCTGTTATAATCAGCTTCCAGAGCAGGAGCTATGGGCTTACATGGCACAGGGTCAGGGTAGAGATTAGGCAGCATAAAGGGTGGAGAGTGTGTGGCCTCTGCTCCCAAATGGTTTCTGTCTCTCCAAGGCAATTGATCAGAGAGAGGAAAGCTCAGTGGAAGGAGAAACAGGATAGGCTTTGAGAAGAGAGTGCATTTATCCTTGTTTTGATTCTAAAGGAACTTGGAGTCTTTAAACTCATTCACTCATTTGGTAGGCATCTGCTGAGTGCTGGCTGTGCGTTGGGCTCTGTGCTAGGTGCCAGAGGTACCGTGATAAATGAAACCCAGCCACGCTCTTTACAGCCCAGTTGGGGATAGACATTAGCATATGATTGCCATTCAGTGTGAGCAGTCGGGTGAAGGAGGGAAGCCAGCACAAGAAGGTGGCATGAGGAATGGGACCTCATCCTGCCTGAGAGGTAGGAACTCTCAATCACGAGTCCTAGAGGGAAACCAAGAACATGCCAGTGCCAACAATGACAGCTGTTTGAGCTTAGGTGAGCCCTGGATGTATCTCATAGAATTGTGATTAAGTCCAAATTCAGTAGCATATATCAGGTGCCTACTATAATGCTACTACAAGTAGGCACTTGGTAAACAGGCCCATACTGCAATTCTTTCGTTTCTTTTCCATGAAGCCCATTCTTTGGCCACCCTGTCTTCTTTTCTCAATACCTCTTGGTGTCACTGTCATCATTTTGCCTTAGTTGCATGCCATTTTAATCATCAGTTAATTCTGCTGGTGTGTCAGTTTCTTAAGGCCAGGGATTGTGTCTCAGATCTCTCAGGGTAATGTGGGATACAAGCAGGTGCTCGGTGAATACCTGCTGGGGGTGATGGAGAGACGGGCTCACACATTTCCCAGGGTGGGTAGTAATGTGTGACCAGAGCCATAATTGCCTTGGAGGCGAGTGATATTCTAATCTGTCACTGTGTTTGTGAAGTTAATATTTCATTTCACATAGTGGAGGCATTGCTAAATTGTTTTACCACTCAACTTTTGAGGAGACACCTCATATTAATCTCATCAAACTACTCCAAGTTTTAAACTCACTGTGAATGCAAATAAAGCCTGCCATGAAATAATACAGGGTAGACTGTCAATGTGCTGATGGGGAAATTGTGTCATGTTAGAGACAATTCCAGAAAATCAAGAAAATTCATTCCTGGTGTTAGGCAGAGTCAAAATAAAGTGAATTATTAGAGGTATTTCCAGTTGAAAGTTTCAGTGATTTCCCAGATTAGGGGATCCTCTGGGAACAATGCTTCTTTATAGTGATGCTGAGCCCTTAAAAAACAAACAAAAAAACAATTTTCGTGAATTATACCAAGGAAGTGGTGAGTGGACCAGATGTCTCAGTTACAAACAGGGTTGTTGCTTCTTGCATCGTCCTTTAAATGTGCTGGTGGAAAAAGCTCAGGGAATCTTCTGGGGGAGCTCATTTAATAACTTGCCTCAAGTGGTTGGAAGCCATAGCTTCCTGATGCAACCTCAGCTGCAGAGACCAAAGGAGTAGGGAGTGAGGCTTCAGCATCGTAGACCTGCTGGGAGTTTCTCAGGCCTGTTTGCTCCTGAGAGCACTTCTCCTTTAGCTGGAGTCCACTGGAGGAGTCTGCCCTCTGTAAAAGGTCCTAAAGCCTATTGGCCACGGGACCCCAATTCCAGTATGAGACCCACCAGTGACCACTGTCAAGATTCACCAGCCTCTCCAGACTTTGTTTCTCACCTGCAAAACAGAAAATCTGTCTTTACTTGTTCAGGAGTTCTGAGGCTCACATGGGAACCTGTCTTACTATCCAAATACCGTAAATGTTTTTGACTGTTATCTGACTCAATATGCAATTGTTAGAGAAATGAATAAACAATGGAATTCATATGAAAGATGTAAGTGTTTTCATCTCCCTCACATTTAATACCAGATTTGTTAGCTCCTTAGGAAGCCTGTCTGTGCCTCCCACAGTTTTGTAATTTTTATAATCAAGGTTTTTAGAGACTGAATTCCCTCATTATAATAAGATCACGCATTAACTGCTTGCTACCTGAAAGGCAGGACCGCCGTGTGCTGATGTGCAGGCAATGCATCACATCAGTAGTGCTCATCGGTGCCAAGCACCTCATTCATTACATTGTGACCCAGTGCACATCACCGCTGTATGAGGTAGGATATTACCTTTCCCATCTTAGATGAGGTCAGAAAGATACAAAGAAATTGGGTGGCATGTCCGAATAGCTCACATTGTAAGTGATGGAGCCATGGTGTCTGGCTCCAGAGGTAATAGTCTTAACCATGTCATCTCTCAGGCAGTCTTCTGAGAATGGTTTTATCCAGGCAAGCTAAGGTGCCTTGGGCAGAGACAGACATGTGGTCAAGTGACAAGCCAAGGCCCTGAGGCACAGGGAAGGGAATGGTGAGCCATGATGAAGTGGAAAGGAGGGGCTTGGAAAGATAAGTAGTGAGATGAATCCCAGTGGTTTTTGGGACAGCAGAGAGTAGGGTCAGGTTTAGTAAAGACAGAGCAGTTAGATCAGGAATTTGGGTTTTCAAACAAAGGACAATGTCAGGATGCTGGGTTTATGCAAAAGCTCCTGGTACCTGGCAGAGTAGAGCAGCTATTGAAGAGCCCCTCTCGTATGTCTATGCCTGTGAGATTATCAAGGGCCCCCTCAGCTATTGGGCTCTAACCTAAACATCAGTGATTAACTGTGAAAAGTTTGCTGCTACTAAAAGGTGATTATTTTCTTCATGCTATTGACTAGACAGACTTTGACATCAATGTCTCCACATGCTAGAATTCTAGGTACTTACTGTGATGCAGGAAAGGGTCTGGAATCCTGAGGGTCCTTACTGGAGCCACCATTCTGTGCTGGGAGATCTTAAGTGCCATTTGGTAAGCACACATTTAGTACCTACTCTGTACCTAAGCTTGTGCTAAATGTTGAGGAGGGGTCTGGAGAAAGAAATTTTTTTTAAAAAAAGTAAATTAAAAAAAGTAAAGTGGAAGATTTAAACTTTAAAATAATTTTTGTGAATAATCCATTCAGCAAAACAATCTATCCTCTGAGTTCTTGGAGGACAATCTTGATTTATTTTTCTTCCCTTCAATGAAGGTGAATTGTAAAATTTCTGCATATTACTGTGAGAACATATATATAAGAATAATTCAGAGTTTGGACTTTGGAGTTAAATTATCCTGGAATTTTAAACATTTACTAACTATATAACTTTGGGTACATTAACTAGTCTCTTAATCTTCAGTTTCTTTATTAGTAAAATGACAATAATAATAGTCCTAGATTGATTAGGATTTTTCCGAGTGTAAGACTAATTCTAGCTTACCATGAATTTGGAATTAAGAAAATGTCTTGTTTCATACTACAAGACACCTAGAGGCAGAGTAGGCAAATCCAGCAGCTCAGTGATAGCATCTAGGACCCACATCTCCCTGTCCCTCTGCTCAGGCATCCTCAGCATGGGTGCCATGCTGAGGGTGATTTCCCTGAGATCCTAAGGCGGCTGCCAGTGGCACTTGTGTCTGTGTGCCTCTTTGTTCTTACCCAGTATGACAGAACAGGAGAATCAATTCCTCCAATCCTGGCACATGTCCTTAACCTCCGTCTGTCTGAGCCATGGTCATGAAAATCTTTCAATTGAGTGACAGTGGGCAAGAGAATCCCATGCACCAATTTGCTTCATAAGTAATCTGGCTGCCCCTGTAGGGTTAGGGAAGGGCTAGTTGCAGAACAAATCAGGATCTAATTAGGAGGTGAGAGAGGAAATGGATGCTGGGAAGGCAGCCAGCAACAGCATCCACAGGTTACCATGATAAAAGGTTTGTCAGGGGTCGGGCACAGTGGCTCACGCCTATAATCCCAGCACTTTGGGAGGCTGAGGCAGGTGGATCACAAGGTCAAGAGATTGAGACCATCCTGGTCAACCCATGGTGAAACCCTGTCTCTACTAAAAATACAAAAATTAGCTGGGTGTGGTGGCGCACGCCTGTAGTCCCAGCTACTTGGGAGGCTGAGGCAGGAGAATTGCTTGAATCTGGGAGGCAGATGTTGCAATGAGCCGAGATCGCACCATTGCACTCCAGCCTGGGTAACAAGAGTGAAACTAGGTCTCAAAAAAAAAAAAAGAGGTTTGTCAGGAATAGAGAGATGACACATGGAAAGTTCTGAGCATGTGCCTCAGCATGATTGTAGATCACTCTAATAATAAGCAAAGGCGCAAAGCCTTCTAGGAATTTCCTTCTGTCTCTGCTCCAAATAATAATCATTTTGCTATGTTGAAACATGCCCCAGGCACAGCACTCTGCTGATGCTCTGGTGAAGTGGCAACTCAGTCACCGCCCCTAAGGAAAGTCTGCTCTTGCTGTAAACACTTCACTATTGTTTATGGCTTTTCCATTTTATTGCAAGTGCATTCCCAGCAGTCTCTGAACACTGTGTTCCAGTGTCCTAAACAAACATCCTTGTCATGCCATGAGAGGCATTCACATCTGAAGTGTCATCTGAGATTATAAAGGATGGCCAGGTCTGACTGCTGACGACCATGCATCGACCATGCATTGCAGCTTCAGGAAGCTCAGCTCAGCTTCTCTGACAGCCCTTGTGCTCAGGTTACCTTGAGGAACTCTGCTTGGTCCAAGCCAGCCATGTGACTCAAGAACCTAAGAATTCCATGCACAGAGGAATGGGGTTGCCAGGACAACTGACTACCTGGAGAACATCACAGACTCGGCACTCGGGGGCTGGTCAGAGTTCAATCCCATTTTTAGTTTTCAGGTAGAGAATACGGCACTGGGTCAAGGAAGAGATAGGAAAGGGAGTCTCAGTCATGGGTTTGAAAGGGAAAGTAACACCCTGATCACCTCCCCCAGAAGGAGGAGAAGAGTGAGTGATAGGACTGATGAGGAAAATGATAAAGTGATGACAGGCACAGTCCTGACTTAGTGACTGCTAGATGCTACTGGGCATACTTTGCACCTATTGGCAGTGAGCCGGCAGTGTTAGTCATAGCTCAGGCAAGCCCGTGGGGCTGCTGACAGTGGGGTGACACCAAGCACGCCTCACCGGCAGCCATGTAATGCCTGTGCTTCCATCATATATGAGGTTTTTATTTGGGGGAGGAGTCAATACACATATTATTATTGTATTATATATTTATATACATAAGGTACATATTGACTATTGACTCCCCCTTACAAAAAAAGAAAAGATAAATACCAAAAAGGTTACAGGAGCATGTTCATTGTTAGCTGGAGCCCTGAACCATATCAAAAGCAGGAAAAGACCATTTTGAGGGATGCAAGTACAGCCTCAAACAGCTTCAGAGATGCAAAAATGGATGGCAGCAGTGAGAGAAGGCAGGAACAGAAGACAAGTGAAGTCCCTGAGAGCCTAATTAGTTATGCTGGCTTGTTCATTTGATGAGAGGTGAGCAGAGGGGACAGCAAACAAGACCTGGAGTAATTTCACTGGTTGCCAGAAGCAGCCCGCCACCCAAAGGTACCATACGAAGGATGTACTGGGAGTGTCAAGGAAGGCCCTCTCATCTTTTCGGAGGTGTAGGCTAAAATTGATGTGCTTGGTTTTGAATGGTAAAGGGCAAGGGTGCCCTAGCTGACTGCTTGTGAGGGGTTGTGGGAGAAGATGGCTTCCCTTGGCTGTATGGGTCTATTCTGGGCAGAGTGTAGCTTGTTCCAGGAACGGGGGTCTTGGAGCCTTGAGGCTGAGTTAGAAAGGGTCCGGCCTTGGACTGTCCATATCCACAGGCACAGAGTAAACCTAATCCCATGCTCAAGCCTCCTCAGCCTGCCTCTGTTCTCACTGACACACCTCTAACACCGCCTTTGGGCAGCCCCATCAGTCTCCGGTATGATTTCCTGCCAGGAGAGCATGTGTCCCTCAGCCCCTTGGACCTTTGAAGCTGCCAGGAGTGGCCTGTGTTCTCCGGTCTTGGCACCGCCTCCTTCTCCCCTTGCTCCCTAATCCTTAGGTATGGGTTCATGCTCAGGTCCCCTGCCATCCCTTAGCAAAACTGGAGAGACACCGTTGGGGACCCTCCAAGCTAATAATGTAGTACCCCTGCAAGCTGATAGTCCTTAAATTTTTGCTGCACATTTTAGAACTGAGGGTAAGGGCAAGGAGGGGGAGGACCTAAGGAGGTACACACCCCACCAAAACCTTGAAGCCCTCAGATAACCCGAGTTATCCTCCCAAGAAGGCAGTTAGGAGGATGGTTCCTCAGTCCCACAACATCCCCCAGAGTTTATCAGTTGTCCTCTCTGAAAAGAGTTCTTGGGAATATGCGTTTCCCCTATTTCTGCTATTTTAATGTCTAGTACAGACTGGCACTCAAGGCACCAACCCTGTTCCAGCTTCCTTGAGAATCCAGGCTTGTAGGAAAGGAAGCTGAAGTCTTCAGTCTTGTGTAGTACAGGATCAGTACTTGGAGCAGAGCATCCTCAACTGGTGTTTGGCTGCAGGGCAGATGCCAAGGCCCTCACGGTCACTCTTCACCACCTTCTGTAGCCCCATCTCTTCAGACACCAGGCCCCCAGGCAAAAGGCAGCCCAGGGGCAGGCACCATGCTCAGGGGCAGAGCGTTAGTCATAGCTAAGTTCCAGAACAAGGACTTTGTCAGTGAAAGGAAAGAACCAGAACTACAATGTTAGGGAGAGGCAAGGCTTCCCTTGGCCTGGGTTATGCATTGCTGGTCTCCATCAGGTGGCCTGGCCCAGCATCTGGCAGCAACAGGCCAACCTGAACGCTGAGATGGAAACCAACACCAAGTTGTTTTCTTGTGCATTGTTTGGGAGTCATTGAAAAAACATGTACTGAGCACCTATTCCCAGGACAAGCTCCACACTGAGGACTAGGGATAGAAACGTAAATATATAGTTTCTGCTTAAAGGACCTCAGACACTGGTGGGGGAGATGGAGGACAAGAGAGCCAAATGTAGTTCAGAGCAAGAGGTGCTGAGTGGGAATTATCTCATGGGATTGTAGACAGAGGAAGAACCCTAAACTAAGCTAAGGCAAGTGGTGGTCAGGGAAATTTCTATAGCAGATGTCACTGTACTAAGTCTTTTAGAACAATCTATTTGCTTTTATTTCTTGTTGGACTTTAAAAACACATTAACAAAAAAGATTTCCCCTAATGCAGGTTGTGAAAGCGATGGTGTCTGAAAGAGAAGGTACTGTGTACTTTAGACTCACGTCTCAACTGGAATGCTGTCCCTCCTAGAATCTCAGATTCCTGGTTGTAAAGCCTCTGAGGGATTTCTGGGTCACAAAGCTCTGAGATAATCGGCGAATCAAAAAATAAATCTCCTATTTGCAAACCAGCATCCTTGCCATGTGCAATTCTGTTTCTCTAAGCAGAAGTTTCTCACCCCCAGAAAATCAGGTACATTATCTGAATTAAAATCTAAGGGAGAAATAAAAAGCATACCTCATGCTGTGTTGATTTTCTCTAATGATCTGATCCATGCCCCCTTTTTGGGGTGGGAAGTTATTACAGCCATAAATATTTGTAATTCTTTCTCTGATGTATTATATTTGTTAACAGCACCACAGGGTAGATGCTGCTCTTGAGAAAATAAGCACGTTGAATGGTGGGGACTAAAGAGAGAAAACCAGGAAAGGGAGGTGATCTCTCCTTGAGCAGGGCTCCCCAGCAGTGGCTTCCCCCAGCAGTGGGCCTCAGGGTTCTTCCTGAGCACTGGAGCAGGGGGCTTTATAAAGGGAAGCCTCTTTATTCCACCTCAGCCTCTGATGCCAGCTAGCATTGTGCTTTTTTGGACAGAGCAGTTAGAACTCTGGAGCTGTCTCTTCTTCCACAGGTTATATGAGGGAAGATAAAATAAGTTAGTAGATGCAGAGAGATTTTATAAAGCAGTAAGCTCCACACCTACCCATCTCAATAAAGGGTTTGGAAGCTAAGCAAGCTACCCACTTCCTCTTCAGCCTCATGGATACAATGATTGGCATTCTTCACTTCTCTAATCCACAAGGCTTTAGACTCACACAAATATGGATTAAAATACCAGTTCCATGATTTGGGGCAAGTTACATAACTCCTCTGATATTCAGTCTTTTCTTCTGTTTAGTGAGGGGAATTACTATTCTACTAAGGATAAAGCATGTAATATATTTTATAAATGGTAGCCATTATTATGATATGTGTTGGTTTCACTTTATCAGTTCAGATGGTTTCAGCTGCAATTAACAAAATCCGACTCAACTAGAAGAAACAATGAAGAAAATTTATTTTCTCATTGAAAAAGAAGTCTGCCTGTAGGACAGAAAAACAGCTTGATAACATCACTGAGGATTCAAATTCTGGCTCTGCCTGTCTTGACACTAATCTCTTGCTTTTCTTTACAACATGGCTTCAACAGTTGTGAATGTTGTAGCCTCACCAAAAATGTCCAAAGACTGCACCCTGAGGCAGATCAATGCCCTACCAAAGAAAAGTAGATCTCTGAGGGGTAGCTAGATAAAACCATCTGTCACACCTCTTTAAACAAGGCTCAGGGGTAGAGACATGATATTATGTTGCCAAATCTCTTCTATGCTACCTTGAAAAGTACTATGGGCACATTAAACCTTCACTAAAGTGTTGCTACGAATTAAAAACTGTTGCTGGAGGGCTCAGTTATTTAAAAATTGTCACGATTAGCCGTCTTGATCCTTTCTGTAGAAAGCTGTCCACTGTGGTCTAATTTCTAAAACCAACAAAGAATAGAAGACAGTCTAATAATAGAGAAATAAATAATCCATGTTGTCTTGTCTAGTTCTAGAGTATTAAAAATAATTTTAAGTGACATGTAAAAATGCTAATACATAATGTTAAGTGGGTAATATAAAGGATGCATACACCACATTATTTCCACTAAGGAAGGCAAATATATGTACAAAATAAAATTATGTATAGGGAAAAAGAATCTGCTATAAGAAGGTAGACCAAAATGTTGACAGCAATTTTTCTAGGATTGTGGAAACCTGATAAATTGGTTTTCCATTTTCTTTCCCTGTAATCATCCAAAATTTATATAATTCACATTTACTTTTCTAACAGGGAGAAAAATAATATTTTAAAGCAATGATGCTTAGCCTGATTGCAGAGAATGCCCTCTTGACATGAACCTGCATGTATATTTATATCTTTCTATTCCATCCAAATCAATGTGAAGAGGCAGCCCAGACTGTATGTGAAAATCCTTGCATCTCATGCATTTTTAACAGGGTTGTTGAAACAAGTGACAGATGAGGGAGAGGACTTCTTTGCACTGAGAACAGGTTGCATAAACTAAAAGTGATACTGTCATGATGGTGACCACAGAAATGTGGGTTAGGGGACTTTTCAGGGACTGCAAACGTAACACAAAATTACGGAAGATTTGGGAAACTACAGTTAATATCTATGCCAAATTACAGAGGATTGACATGCATCCTTATTAAGAGATTTGTTCTGATTACAAAAAGATTAAAATTCTTTATGAATTTTTATTTAAATTTGTGGGAGAGACAAGGTCTCACTATATTACCCAGGCTGGTCTTGGACTCCTGGGCTCAAGAGATCCTCCCACATCAACCTCCCAAAGTGTTGGGATTATAGGCATGAGCCGCCACACCCAGACAGAGATTGAAGTTCTAAGTATGCCTCCAAATCAAGAAGTTTGATGAACTAGATGAGAAAGTATAAGGAATTGCAAGTTGCCAGAGGGCCAGTTTGAAGTGAAGGTGAACAATACAGTTCACCTCACGATGGGTAAGTTGCTTATGAAGATCCCCTTCTTCTCCAAACACCTTTCCTATAAAGGGAGGATCAAAGCTTTTAAAAAGCCAAATGCATACTTTTCCTTTTCACACTCCTATCCCACAACAAAGTGTTAGAAACAAGACATACCATTTTAATGCATTATGATAAGTCCTGGTTGTGTCAGAATTCCACACTCTCCTCTGCTGCCCGGTGCCGTGTCTGAAATGCCAACATCATGGCTTTACTCTGTTGAGCTTTGAGTGGTCCCCAGTTTCTTAAGGGTCCCCAAACTATACTTTCCTGCTGGGGGATAAATCTTCATCTCCTTGTCAGCAGCATCTCAGGAGTTAATAGCTGACTACCAGTGGGGAAGACCTCTGGATATGGAGTTGGGGAGGCAAGACAGGAGGAGGAAAGGGCCCCAACGACAACTTATTCAAAGCTCTTGTCTGTCGTGTGCCTAAGCCTTCCAAAGACAATTGTTCTCATTAGTTGTTGCAGTCATCTGAAGTTGTGCATTACCTAATTTCATAGAATCAAGGGGGAAAAAAATGCCAAGCTCTAGAATGGCCTGGGCATTTCCCATACATGATACTATTTCATCATTCTCACTCTTCCAAACTGAATTTGGAAGTTTTCACATTAACGCATGATGGATATAAGATTGAAGGCTATGGTTTAGTTCTCCAACTCAGATTCCTCCCAAAGATTCAAGAACCTGAGAGAGAGCATTCTCCAAAAGCTACCACCCTTTTTGCCCTGCTAGCTCCTGAAAGCCATTATGCTGATGATGAAGGACCCAGGGAATAAAAGCTTAGGGTTGGACTGGAAACTGCAGCTTGCTTTTTGCTCCCTGTTTTCAGACAAAACTCTCTTGGTGACGTGTATAATTTGTTCCCTCTTTAACTTTAAAAAAGTGCCCTCTTTAATTTTCTTGGTTTAGACATCTCTTTTAAGAGTGAAAGGTCGACTTTTTAGATGTGAAATATTTTATATCTGACCTTTTATCCATCATTGCTAAGATGAATACAAATGCCCTGAAGAATAACTGAAAAAAGCAATCAAATAAGATTATGAATTACACAGAAAAAATAACACCTAATTAAAGTGATTGTGTGTGTAGTGCTTGGCAAACAGGTCAGTATCATTAAAACAATGCTAGAAAGCAGACAGAATAACAAGAGACGAAACTAACCCACAGAAATACACACACACGCTCATATACACATGCACTGAATGAGCCACTGTTAATTCTTGTGGAAAAAAACAGAATCATTAGAATTGAAGCCAGGCTTACCGGTACCCAATCAAAATCTGATGATCAACTGTGCACTATGGCAACAAATGTTCTTATTGCTCTTCACAGCATAGTCATTACCCTGTACTCCAGAAGGACAATAATAGGTAGAGCAACTCTAAACACTCACAACCTGCCCCTGTTGCCTTAGCAACATGCATGGTTTATGAAGCACTTTCATGCATGAGAAGGACCCCGAAGGCTTCCTGTACCCAGATAGGATCAGTGTTCTGCTAGGCTCAGGTTAGGAATGTAGGTCTCTTGAGGACAGCTAGCCAGACCTTCCTCATATCTCTCCTCAATCTTTAGAAAAGGGGATTGGGGAAAACCTCCCAACATGCTACCTAGTTTACTCAAAAGAATGTGCACTTTGGAGTCACCTAGCACTCCTTTCAAGTGTTGGCTCCACTGACAAAAAGCTGTGTGATCTGGGCAAGCCATTTGCAGTCATGAACCTTAGATTCCTCATCTGTCAAGCAAGTGTAACTGCAAAGTCTACCTCTCAGTTTTCTGTGGGGATTAACTGAAATGAGTACCATGCATTTGGTAAATGTCAGTTACCTTGCCACTCATCTCTAGAACACTGGAGGACCTGAAGAATTCAGTGCAGCATGATAACTTCTTTCTTTCTTTTCTTTTCTTTTCTTTTTTTTTTTTTTGTTTTTTGAGAGGGAGTCTTGCTCTGTCACCCAAGCTACAGTGCAGTGGCACAATCTCACCTCACTGCAACCTCTGCCTCCAGGATTCAAGCAATTCTCCTGCCTCAGCCTCCTGAGTAGCTGGGATTACAGGTGCCCACACCACATCTAGCTAATTTTTGTATTTTTAGTGGAGAAGGGGTTTCACCACCTTGGCCAGGCTGGTCTCTGACTCCTGACTTTGTGATCTGCCTGCCTTGGCCTCCCAAAGTGCTGGGATTACAGGTATGAGCCACTGCACTCGGCCAGATAATTTCTAACTGGTTGTCATACATACTTAGCTAAAAGTACATTTGTCTAATGAAAATGTACTTAGACACCTAACATGAAATTAGACAAAAGCTGAGCTGTGGGGTCGGGAAGCCAGGAGTCCTTCAATCCCAGCCATCTGAGGGCGTCCCAGAAGCCCACGGGAATCACAAAAAGATAGTTTATTAGTTGTTCTGGATTATCCTGGTGCTTCCTTTCACTTGCATTGGGCTTGGTACTGATTTAACTTCTTCCAAAGGGAGCTATGTATTTTCTCCAGCCACAGGCTAGGAAGTTACGGGAGCTGGGCTCTGCTCCTTACCAAACCAGGGCAGACAGACACTTGCAGGCACCTTGCAAAGTAAGCAAATGTGTCTGTTTTTTTAATCTTCCCCACAGTTCCCAGCGTGGGACTACACACCACGATAATCAGCACAGAGACCATCTCCTTAAACTATCTTGTTGATTTTTCAAAACCCAGGGCAGATTCACCCTCCACACAGAATGTACTGAGCTTCTGGGTCCACACAGACTTCTTCCTTCAGTGTCCACCTCACTGAATTGTTAAACTCTTGGGATTTGGGGAATCATATGGGTTAGCTGTCTTCCTATGGTTCTCACTCCTCTTTACCCTCAAGTTTTCTCAAGTCAGTAGCCCTAGGGGAGCTGAGTACAAACATGATGGAAAGAAGAGAGCTGAGGCCTTCTCTCACAGTGCAATTCTTTATACTATTTGTAGGCAAGGAGGTTCTGTTGAGACCTGAGCTATGGAGGATCCCGATGAGAACAAATCTAGTAGAATGGTGAAGACAGTGGATCCTGGGACAGTCTAGGTGTGAACCATGGCTCTGTCATTGAGTAACTCTGGTCCATTTACTTCTCCCGGACTCGGTTTTCTCACATTTAAAATAAAATGATAGTAGCAGTGCTTTTCTCAGTCATCATGAGCATTAATATTATGGGAAGGCTTTAAACAGTGCCTGGCATGTGATATGCATTCAGTTAACTTCTCATTGACACTTTACTCAGCATTTTCTAATGATGTGAGTTAATATGAATTGTCAAAAGTAAAATAAAAGCACTGAACTCAGAGTAAGGATCAAAATTGTAGTTGTGATTTCTCCATCAATTTGATGTATGACTTTAAGAAACTTACTTTCTCTTTTGGGACTCAGTTTTCCCCATTTGATTCATCATTTGGTGGGAATAGATGATCTAAAAGACCTCCTGTTGGCTGGGAGTGGTGTCTCATGCTTGTAATCCTAACACTTTGGGAGGCTGAGGTAGGTGGATCACCTGAGGTCAGGAGTTTGAGACTAACCTGACCAACATGGCCAAACCCATCTCTACTAAAAATACAGAAAATTAGTTGTGTGTGGTGGTATGTGCCTGTAATTCCAGCTACTCAGGAGGCTGAGGCAGGAGAATCAATTGTTTGAATCCTGGAGGCAGAGGTTGTGGTGAGGGAAGATCATGCCACTGCACTCCAGCCTGAGTGACAGAGTGACTCTATGTCTCCTAAGTAAATGAATGAAGACATCCTCTTTTCTGTCTCTTTTGACTTTAGATAAAGTGTGTGATGGGGCAGAAATGGCTGATTCTAGGGTAAGCTGCCAGTCTTCCTCCCCATGTCTGCTTCCTGTGCTGTGTACCAGATATTCATGATATTCACAGAACAAACTCCAATTCTCTGGTGAAAGGATGGAGATCTGGCTTATAAATGCATGTGACACATCTTAAATTTAAAAAATTAATCCCAACCTTATAAAAAATCAAACTCTTTAACTTTTATAGACATAAGCACATTAGATCTATTTTTGGGGCAAATATCCAAGCTCTGATTCATGGCCTCTCATCTGGCTTCTTGTATTCATGGCATGGCCCCAGCAAAATAGGCATGGGGGTCTATGGCGAGGTGTCACTAAAATATAAATGTCCCTTCATTTCTAATGGATGCTGAAGATTGCAGCTTATATCATTAGGCTGGTTATAAAATATTAAACATTAAGTAATCCAATGTTACTCAAGAGCCAGAGCCAAGTTGATGCCTTTTTCTTTCCCTGTTCAGGGAAAATGGCCCTGAGTACCCAGACTGGCCCCTGATAACTGGCAGGATGTGATGCCAGCACCTTTACTGTTTACTAGTGGTGGCGCTCCACTAATGAGGGGTGGTCAGTAAGTGTCCCAGCCACTTGTCTTTCTTAGGGTTTGATGATGCTGACTGCTCCACAGCAATGAATGGCAGAGTGCCAAGCCTTCAAGCAACAGCTTTGACTTCTCCTGGGAGAGATGTCCAGAGGAGCTACTCTTCTTCCCTAACTTTTCAGGAAGGGAATCTTCAGAGGAGATTCCCAGTGTGTGATTTGTCATGTAGATAGGCTGTGGCAGATACTTTTAGTGCCGCATGTCATGACCCCGCAGCCGCCTGATTTCGGTGCTGTGATGATAGGTAAATGTACACTGTCAGCATTTCCAATTCTTTTTGAGTACTTTCAGTTCACACTCAGGTGCTGCCCGGAAGTGTGGGGAAGGTAATGCTCCTAGTGGTGGCTCTCCGCTAATGAGGGGTGGTCAGTAAGTGTCCCAGCCACTTGTCTTTTAAAGATATATTTTTGACATGTATTTTATGTGTTTCTTCAAAGGGTCCCTGGCAGTATTGAACCCCACTTTGACTGCAGCAGTAACTAGCCCAATTCTGCACCTTTCAATGGTTCCCTCCCTTGTTTCCATTGCCCTCTCACTCTGGCTTCCTGAGGTTACCTCCCAAATAAATGACCTCCTCCAAGTTCTTGTCTCAGGCTCTGCTTACAAGGGAACCCACACCAACATAAAGGTTTACCATATAGGAGGATTTCTGGAAGGGGAAGGGAACTTTGGAAGCTTGAGTCCTGACAAAAAAAGCCAAATAGCTCTAAAATTCAGGTTCTATGAAAATAGCTGGGCTTGGGTTGTGCCACTTGTTCTTTGCACATCTAACCTGGATTTGCAAGGTTAGCGCATTGTACCCAATTGTATAAGTTGGGCATTGTTCATAGGCCTCTAACCCTAGGGTTTAAAATCAGCCACTTGCTCTGCTCACCAGGTGTATTAATCAGAGTTCTCCAGAGGGACAGAATCAATAGGATGTATCTATATATAAAAGGGAATTTATTAGGCAGAATTGGCTCACATCAGTACAAGGCAAAGTCCCAAAATAGGCCATCTGCAAGCTGGGCAAAGAGAGAAGTTGTTAGCATGGCTCAGTTAATCTCCGAAAGCCTCAAAACCAGGGAAGCCAACAGGGCAGCCCTCAGTCTGAGGCTGAAGCACGGAGAGCCTCCAGGAGTTGCTGGTGCAAGTCCCAGAGTCCAAAGTCTAAAGATCTGGAGTCTGAGTCCAGGGGCAAGAGGAGAGGAAGCAAGCACCTGGCATGGGAAGAGAGAGCAAGAGAACTTGTAAAGCTGCTCATCTCCCTTCTACCTGGGCTGGCAGCTGATTGGATGGTGCCCACCCACATTGATGGTGGGGCTTCCTCACCCAGTCCATTGACTCACGTGTCTGTGTCCTCTGAAAATATCCTCATAGACATAACCAGAAACAACACCAGCCATCTAGGCATCCCCTCAGTCCAGTCAAGTTGATGTCTCACATTAACTGTCACACCAGACCACACCCTGAAGTGCCAGGCTGCATCTGCCAAAACAAAACACTCCTTTTTCTTAAAAGTGTTGATCATTCCCTAGGCTGCATGGCTTCAGGTTGACATCTTCGCCAAGGGTATCTGGGCATCATTTTCCAGTTCACACAAAGGCATTTTATAGGCTGGCTGTGGTCCTCAGTCACCTGGGCTTCTGCCCTATGTCTGATTGCTTCTATTTACAAACCTAAGTCTGTAACCAAGACAGTCTCTCTCCCACAGCCCCTATGTCTGTGGGAGAGTCTCTCTCCCACAGCCCCTATGTCTGTGGGAGAGTCTCTCTCCCACAGCCCCTATGTCTTCTGCCCTATGTCTGATTGCTTCTATTTACAAACCTAACTCTGTAACCAAGACAGTCTCTCTCCCACAGACATTTCCATGTTGGCATCTGCCTTTGGCTAATGCCGACTCCTTCACTTGTTCTTCTTCCTGAAAGGTGCTTGTTCACCAGTGCTTGCTCTTTAAGTCTCCACTATTTTTGGTTCGCTTCCAAGCTCGCAATGTCACTTCCCTCCAAACCACCACTGGACTTATTAGATTCCATCCATCCATTCATTTAATTGTATATTTGTTCTTCAAGAATATTTAAAGTGTTTTCAATAATGTGCTTGGCTCTGGGTCTACAGACATGAATCCATTCAATCCCTGTTCTAGTGGAAGAATGAAACAAGCAGCAAGAGAAAGCACAGTGATAGAGGGAAGCACAGGGGCTCTGGGAGCCAGGGCAGGGCCCCTCTCTCAGCTCAGGGGGCCAGTGACAACCTTGTGGGAGGTGGTGACAGATGATTACCAGAGCTGTCTTAACACTGGGTAAAGAGGGAGCGGGGGAGATGTGGGGGACAAACCAAGAGAGAAGAGCAGGTTCAAATGTGAGAGGACAAGAAATGTACACAGAAGACTGTGAGCTGTTTAATGCTGTTGCATTATCAAATTGGAGGCAGGGGAGAGAGAGATGAGGCTGTGGGAGGGGAAGCAAGGTCCTTTCCTCGAGGAAAGCCTGTTAAGATGCTTATACTCAATGAGGTAAGGAGCAGGAAGACATGCCAGCTGTTCAGCAAGGGCTTTGCTCTTGCTTATCATTTGCAAATAATAGAAATTTCATTCATTTTTTTCATTATTTACCTGTTTTTTATATGGATTGCTGTGTGTTTTACTGGGTTTGGAGGAACACTTGTCTGTAATGAGTGGACGAGAAATGTTGTGAATAGAGACTTCATCTTCTAAACCTGGAAGGTGCTGAGCAAAGGAGGAAGTTCAGAGGCTATGAGTCACTCAGTCTACCCCCCACCCTTTCACACAGTGGGCACTTGGCTTTTCTTTTCTGGCAGAAAAAAAAAAATTATAGGAAGGATCCCTTTGCCCTTCCTGTGGAGATCGGCAGCAGACAGGGAGGAGTAAGAGCAGGAGAGTCCTTTAATGACTTGGCAGTTGGCTGGGTGGAGGGCCTCATTCCCTGTTCATTTCCTCTAGATCTTAGCAGAACCTTTGAAAATTAAAGAAGCCGCAGCTGAGCAGAAAGAGGTTGGGTCTTGGTGTTTTAGTGACTTGTATTCAAAACCAGGTTTAGGCTTATGCAAGTTATCAAATTATACTGAATCTCCAATCTCCTTTGCAAGGGAGTCCATGATCCCTCCCTGGGCTGTTACGCCGTTAAAGGAGACAATACAGCTGTAAGATCCTAGTCTAGGGCTTGACTCTGAGTGGGACCGCAGGTGGAGCTCAGCGAACGTCGGATTGCTTCTCTTCACCTGCCTTTCCTTTAGGGGTCCCTTTTCACCTCTCTCTGCCTCTTTCTGTAAGTGCATGAGCTTGTTGCCAAGGTACGTCAGCAGCATCCACCTCCTCCATCTCTCTGCAGATTAATCCACTTCCATGCTACTCCCTGAGGACTTACTGAATCAGCTCTGATTATGCATTTCTCTTGGCAGTAACCCACCCTGTGACTTTTGGCAGGTCATATCTGCTCTCTGGGTCTTAGTGTGTCCCCCTGTAAAGGGGATGAGTGGAACAGATCATCTCTGAGAGTCCCAAATCTAACATGATATGCTTGTATGAGTCCATGACTCTCCACGCTAGAAAATAAATCCCAGTGCCTTAAGCACAACATGTAAGCTCTCCCAGGACCCCTGTGCCCATGGTCTGACTACAATTTTGCCCCTTGGTTCCTCTTTTCCACTATTTAGTCCCTCCCTTCTTACCCCAGTATCCTCTGCTACTGCCTTGGTGCCCTGCCACATTAGGTATCTCATCCTCGTTTATGCTGACTTTCATCATAAAAACTAACAGTATTAGAGAGAGACTCTGTGTGTGTGTGTGTGTCTGAATTAATTTGAAATTATTGTGAGTAGGTATTACTGAGGTAAATATAAAGAAAGCCTTAACTTAATGTCATGAAATAGGTTGATGAGTTAATTTGAATAGATTATATAAAAAGTAGTTAGGACTGAAACACACTCCAGAATTACTTGCAGCTCCGTATTCAGTCTGCTGTTGGTACTTTTATGAACAGATCAGATAAAGGCTGGAGAAACGTGAAAAATGCACATGGATTTTATGTCTGGATGATATGTCACTTTGATCAAGGAGAGGCAAACTATTGTTATAGAAAGTGTAAGAAGAAGGCAGGGAGTAGAAGCCTCATTTTGACTTTATCTTAGCCCTCCATGTGACCTTGGATGTACCTGCTTAACTTCTTGAGCCTCAGTTTCCTCATCTAAAAAATGAAAATGCTCTTATTTTTGGAGGAATGTCACAAATTGAGGGTGGTAAAACATATAAAAGTACATCAGGAAGAGCATCCAAATGCTACCCCAGAGGGAGGAAGCGTTATCATGAAGTCATTGCTTATCATCCATTACAGAAAAGCTTTCTAGAATAAGAAAAAACAGTCACCCACTCCAGCCACTGGGAAATGATGCATTCTCGTGAATGTGACCTGAATAAATGGAGGACATGTGGCAGCTCTCAAGTGTAAAAATGAAAGAACAGTGTTGGTGGTCTCATTCATCACTGCCCAGCTGAAAGTTTCTGCTCTGTATTACTAGTACATTTGCTTTTCTGTGAATAGTGAGCACATGGTATTTGCTAAAGACCTGCTCTATGCCAGACCCTGGACTAGATTGTGGAGTTGCAAATCGAAGGACAGGGTCCCCACCTTAGAGCACCTTATAGCCACATAGAGAGGCCCATGAACAAAAATAATTTCAGTATGTTCTGCTAAAGGACAGAATGAAGGGACATTCCACCATGTGAGGCTGAGAGAAGGATCACTGATTTACCCCAGAGGAATCAAGAAACCTTCACAAAGGAGAGGGCAACAGAAGTGGAGGGGAAACAGAAGGTGGCAGATAAGATGAGCCTTGGAGTTTGAGCTGAATGTCAACAGGCAGAAGTTGGAAGGAAGGTGTGAGAATCAATGGGCAAGCAGCCTGAAGCCAGTCCAGCAATCTGAGAAGCTGACCCTGAAAATCAACCTTATATTTACCCCCAGAGCCTCAGGAATGTGCAGTCATTGTTGCCATTTGTTGCTACCTCTTGGACAGGCAGACACAGAGCCTTGTCTCCAGGGGAGCTGGCTGAGTCCAGGAGAGTACAAATCTCCGTAGAGGAATGGCAAAGGGGGCCTCGCAAAGGAGTGACTGGATCCTTGCCCTAGCCAGACATTTCTTTGGCTGAAGGTTGCCCTGGTGGGGCCTCAAAAGCTGGAGAATCTTTACCCTTTACCTGAAAAAGGCTGCTGCCTCTCCAGCTCTGTGAGTAGTAAGTTACACCCTGGTCTTGATTAAAGTCCAAGCACAGGATGGGCAGCCTGCCTTGGCCGTCCAGGCCCTTTGGACCTGGTGACTCATTTGGTGGCAGGAAGTGGAGTCCAGCCACAAAATTACTTGTTTAAGGATTATGTACTATATGGTGGTAGTAGTTAAAGAAATATACATTTCAGTACCACCTTCTATTCCTAAAAATGGTTGATGATAGCAGGTAGCAGGTAGGGAAGTTGTTGAGAAAATGCAGAGATATGTGTGCACTTGCTAAGATGTGAAAGGCAAAAAGCCCCACTGAGCCTGGAAGTGGCTGTTCTCTGACCTGAGTCAAAAGGCACAGTGCAACCCCCAGTTCTGGAGCCCTCCCCTTCTCTGCAGGACCTGGGTCTGCAGTAGCCTAAGACTTAGAAGATAGCTAGGGTTTCAAAGAGAGTTAAAGACAGAAGTCAGATTGGAAGCCATGGAGACTGCATTTCTCACTTATTGCTATTTTTTGTTATAAAGACAATGGAGAATACAGTTACTTACAAGATCTTTCCAAGTGGCTGCTGGTTCCTGCAATGCTCAAGTTAATTGAATCATACACCTGTAATTTTGGAGCCATGGGCTTAGGGAAGTCAGTTCTTCAGAGAAAAGAGGAAGAAATGAACTAACAAAAGCCTTGAGTTGTAGCTCTGTGTATGTGTATGGTGGAGGAGAGGTGGAGTGCCCCTAATGGCCTTTTTTCTTCTGATCTGCAGTGCTGTTGGGACCCCTCCCATCCCATAGAACTGGGGCTTCAAGACATGCCAAGTCTAAGTTAAACTAGACACCAGAAAATTGCTCTTTAGTATTTTGCAGTGTCATGGCTGGGGTTTTGGAATCAATTGAAAAACTAGGATAAAGGAGCCAATTACTGCTCTGTTGATTACCAGTAAATCTGTTGGCAAGTGGCAGTTATTTGTGGGTGAATCAGATTATGGATGAATGAGTTATTGATGATCAGTACTAGCTACCATGGAATGCTGACTGTGTGCTGGGCACCCTGAAGGCACTTTAAACATTTTATCTCATGTCATTCTTATAGTAGCCACATAGAATTGATATTCGTTTCCCCACTTCACACAGGTGGAAACAAAGCTCACAAAGCAGCTTTGTGGTAGAGACAGATTTAAACTGAGGGGGAGCAACCAATTACTCAGTGTTTCTGGAGCCCAGAGCGACAGAGAGGGAGATGAGGCTGGACTATGGTTAAGGAAGAATCATGAGGGGTCTTCAGTACCCTTCTAGGGGTCTCAGTTTCTTCTTCCTGGGTTTTCAGGCTCAGAGAATCTCCTGAGGTGTGCAAGTCCCAGGGCATAGCCAAACTTTCCCACTGTTCAGCACCCAGATTCTGGGGCTCCATCTGTCATAGAATCCCCCAACCCCCACCTAGCCAGGGTGGGGTTGGGAACTTAGCCTTTGCCAAGCATGCAGACACCCCAGCTTTCATCAGCCTGTCAGAGCTGGCATAGACTTGCCAAGACTTTGTTGAAAACCAACTGCTTTCAATGTAATAAAAGCCAAAGTCCTGGAGGGGAGAGTTTTTGTATCTTTATTCATGGGACCATTTGCTGCTGCTCTGTGTGCTGCAGAGAAATGGTCGCCAAAGGCTTTTCAGCATTCACTGGACAACGGGCTAATCGGGCTGCTGAGTACCCTTCAGTCACCAGGAACAAACTGCACAGCTTCACAGGTGAGAGAGGGGCTAGTGGTGCTCATTGTCCTTATACTCCCATTGCCCCCCACACTTCCCCCACACCCCCACTAACTCAAGAAGGTGAACAGGTGAGGGGAGAGCTGAGCAGCTGTTTCCTCCCCATCAGTAGCAATTCTGCAGTCTCTGGAGGGCCGCAGCCTCACTTGATGCTCAGCAGGCTGGATTACAGGATCCAGATTTCAGGAATGCGGGGCTTACTTCTCCGGAGCTGTCACTCAGTGTTCTAACTCTAGAGCTTCAGTTACTGCCCGTTCTATGTTGTTGTGTGTATTTATTTCTGGGATCTGCTGAAACAAACACACACTTATTAGCTTAAACTACAGAAATGCATTGACTCTTGAGTCTGGAAGACCAAGATTGAGGTGTCGTCCCATTTGGTTCCTTGTGAGGGCTGTGCAAAAGGATCTGTTCAGACCTCTCTCTTAGCTTCTCATAGCCCCAGGCATTGGTTTATCAATGACATTCTCCCTATGTCTTCATATTGTCTTCCTTCTTTACACTGTGTTCAAATCTCCCCTTCTGTTAAGGACACCATTTATATTGGAGTAGGGACCATCCCAATGAACTTATTTCCACCTAATCATCTGCAAAGACCCTATTTTCAAATAAGGTTATATTCACAGGTATCAGTGAGTTAGGATTTCTTTTAGAGGACACAGTGCAATACATGGCAGTTAAGATGCTGCCTTTATGCCTGAATCCGCATGGGAGGAAGTAGATACTGGTAAGTCTTACAGCTAATGGAGATACCACCAAGTCATGGGGCTGGACTCGCCTTCAGTATGATTTCTTGAGCTCCAGATTAGGCCCACAACTAAAGCATCTCTGCAGAGATGTCATGGAAAGTGAGGCTCCACCAGCTGATATTTAATGAGCAATGCCCCCTTCAGAAGTCTTTGGATACTAATTGAGCTCTTACTCAATTAGTATTTGGTAATTGAGTAAGTTAAACATTATATTAATTTAATGTTAATAAGTTAATACAATGTAAAGTTTAAACATTATATTAGTAATGGCCTAGAATTAGTATATGGGGTTAGTGTGTGTTAACTGATTTAACTCGTATAACTTCCACATGGAGCAGAGACTAGCATGATGCCCAGTCTGACAAAAGGGCAACTCTCGTGTCCAGAGTCACGGTGCTAGGGAGTGATGGAGTTGGGGGAAAGCAAAGGCACTCTGGATCCAGGGCCTGAGCTCTTGATCTTAAATTATTGAAAAATGCCAATTTCTAGGCTTTTTTTCCCAGAGCATATCTGAGTTGGGCTCAGGAATCTGAATTTTAAGAGCACCTTCTGATGGAGAAGGTCATTAACCTTCAGGCCCTGGGACAGTACCAGCACCCTGGTTTTCTTTTTCTTTTTTTTTTAATCTTTTATTGCATTTTAGGTTTTGGGGTACATGAGCAGAGCATGCAAGACAGTTGCATAGGTACACACATGGAAGTGTGTTTTGCTTCCTTTCTCTCCTTCACCCACATTTGGCATTTCTCCCCAGGTTATCCCTCCCCACCTCCCCCTCCCACTGGCCCTCCCCTTTTCCCCCCAATAGACCCCAGTGTTTAGTACTCCCCTCCCTGTTTCCATGTGTTCTCATTTTTCATCACCCGCCTATGAGTGAGAATATGCGGTGTTTCATTTTCTGTTCTTGTGTCAGTTTGCTGAGGATGATGTTCTCCAGATTCATCCATGTCCCTACAAACGACACAAACTCATCATTTCTGATTGCTGCATAATATTCCATGATGTATATGTGCCACATTTTTCCAATCCAGTCTATTATCAATGGGCATTTGGGTTGATTCCAGGTCTTTGCTATTGTAAACAGTGCTGCAATGAACATTCGTGTACATGTGTCCTTATAGTAGAATGATTTATAGTCTTTTGGATTTCTCTGACTGATCTCTCTCTCTCTCCCCACCCCCCACCCCCTCCTTTAAGAAACTTAGTGATAGATCTCCGTCTGCATCCATTCCACTTTCTTCTCTATACTCCAGCCAGTGGAATCTATTTGAAACACAAGTCTAGGGCCATAGGTCTGTCTGACCCCCATAGGTCTTGGAATCAAATCTGAATCTATAATATCACCTCAAGGGCCTCTGTAAGTCGACCCTGCTTATGCCTGGGTTCGAGTCCCAGCTCTATTAGTGCCTTACAGCCAGTGCTTTTAGCCCTCAGAGCCTCATCTATAAAGGAAGAGTAATGACATCTCTCCCACAAGGGTGGCAGAAAGAATGAAATTCGGAAATGCACATAAAATGTCTAGTTCCACCCCTGGCCTCAGAGGTGCTCAGTGAATGGTGCACTCCGAATTGTCAGGTGTTGTGTGGCACTGAGCTTTTCAGAGAGCTCTTTTTTGTAGGGACCCTATGAGATTGTCTGATAACTGGGCCAAGACAAGCACCCTTTAGTGCACAGGCCTGGCCACTAGTTTGCACAAGGCTTTTCCTGCCTGAGACCCAGAGGAACACACATCTTGGAGACCAGAAGGGGAAGTGTTGGTGGTCTTTCTTCCAGGCCTGAAGATACTCAGTGTGTGTATGCAGCATCCTCCTTGCTCCCCTATAGCCTGACCAGCTACTATCTTAATCCAATGTGCACTGAGCTTATCTATGTTTTCCAGATGCTGGGGTGGACTTTATGTGCTGTTACCTAATGAGGTGGGGAGCACAGATGAGTGTTCCTGCCATCTGACACAGACCCTCATAGACTGCTGTACTAGGAGGGAATAGGAATGTGTCACGCTATGCAGTGGCTGATCTGGGTGAAGATGCCCTGTGCTAGCAGACATGACCCACAGCCACACCATCTGCTCACTGGACTCTGGTTCATGTGTAGGCTCAAGGTGGACAATCCAGGTTTGAGCATGGTCCTCAGAACTTTGGTACCTTGTCTGTACCATAAGGGGTTAGATCGAAGGATCTCAGGGAAGTTTTTCCCACTTGAACTATTTGTGCTTTTTTGAAATTTCAAGAATTCATCCCCCATGACCAATGTTCTGTGTGGAAGATAGAAGAATGCTGGCAGACTATGGATCTCTCTCTCTCTTTCTTCCCCAATCCCTTTCTCCAAGGAAATGGTATTAAGACCAGAAGAGCCTCTTTGGAATTATAATTGAGATTTGTGAAAAGTAATTACAGAGATTTAATTAGCTAATTACTTACTCTTAGACTCTCAAAGCTAGAATGGCCCATCCATCCCAGTGGTTTTTATATCTGACTATGCATCAGTATCACCTGGGGAGCTTAAAAAGATAACCAATTCCCAGGCCATAAACTAGACCTACTAAATGAGATCCCTGGGGCTGAGAACCAGGAGTCTTTGCATCCAGTCTGGTGGTTTGCTCCCTTAGAACTATGGGGGCCTTGAAACAGAGGCTTAGATGTTCTGTCCTTAGCTAAATGTTCTCTCCTTAGCTAAATGGCATTCATCCTGTGGTTCCCCAGGGTTCACATAGAGCCGCATATACTACTCAGATAGTCTATGCTAAACAATTACACATGACATGGTTAATGAACATGGTTCTAGTGGCTGAACTGTGCTTAGTCTTATACCCATTTGTTCTTAGTGTTCTCATCTCTAGAAGGCTTAGTCCAAGCAATAGCATGGCCTTATGCGAGAAAAAGAGCCCAGGTTTTAGAATTGAATGTGGGTGCAGACACTGGCTCCCCCACACTCCATATGATTTGGATGTGTGACTTTGGGCACATTACAGATATCCCTCAGACCCCAGTTTTCTCTCCTGAAAATGAGTACATGATCTGGCAGGATTTCCATGAGATTTGAAAGAGATGGCGCTTATGAAGTGAGCAGCATATGATATAATGGTGCAAGTTTGGGCTCTTCTCCCCCTCCTCCTATAGGCTGCATGTATCCTTTAGAATATTGTTTAAACTCATCCTTGCCTAGCAGGTATCCTCCTAAAATATGCATTGCATCTTAGCCCAGGCTAATTTGTAAAGTATGCCTGAGTTTAAGATGTTCTCATGTACTTCGTACATATACATCACCTTCCCCCAGATATGGAATGTGATAGTAATGGATGCCGGCCAGATTTGCAAATAAAGGCTAGAGTGGGAATGAAAAGAATTAAAAACATAAGTATAGAATAGGCTTTATTTGGGCTAGAAGATACAAATAATCTGTATACCCATGGAATGATTGTATATGCAAAGAGAAGGCTATAAACCATGTTATTAATAGTAGTTATGCCTGGAGGACACAATTATGGATGATTTTTCATTTCCTTTTGTTGTTTAATAAACTTTATTTTTTTAGAACCACTTCAGTTATACATAAAAATGTCAAATGATGGTACAGAGAGTTCTCATAAACCCACTCCTAGTATACCCTGTTGTCAACATCTTATATTGATGTGGTACCTTTGATACAATTAATGAGCTGATATTTATACATTATTGATAACTGGAGTCAGCACTTCACCCAGATTTTCTAACTTTTTACCTAATGCCCTTTTTCTGATCCACGCTCTCATTCTGCACAGGACATTCCATTTAGTTGTCATGCCTCCTTAGGCTCCTCTTGATGGCGATAGTCGCTCAGACCTCCCTTGTTTTTGATGACTTTGATAGTTTTGAAGTATACTGGTCAGGTATTTTGAAGAATGCCCCTCAACTGGGATTTGCCTCGTGATTTTTTTATGATTAGAGTGAAGTTATGGGTTTTGAGGAGGAAGACCACAGTGGTAAGTGTTATTTCCATCACATTATATCAAGGTACCTGATTTATCACTGTTGACATTGACCTTGACCTCCTGGTTGAGGTAGCATTTGTTAGATTTCTCCAGTGTAAAATTACTCTCCCTGACATTTTTTTTTCCCCTGTGATACTTTTACTTCCTTTTTATTGCTCCATATTATCTAAAGTCCTTTTTTCCCCAATGATCATAATTACTTGTATAATCAGAGAGAAAGGAACTCTTTTTATTTTGGAAAACATTGACCGTCTCATAAGACTTTCATCCTTTCCTTGTATTTTGTCTTGGCCTGGTTTTCAGCACTATTGCAGAGTCCTCCCCTAGAAGTCTCTGCTGGGAATTTGGCCACTGGCATCGGTTCCTGCTGAGTGTGCCTCAGCCCCATGCTGCCTGCCTTGCAGAGGGTGTATCCTGCAGAGCAACTTTCCATGGTGTCAGAGTGAGCAGGCCCATAAATCAGTCAGGGAGGCTCCATCCTCACTGTAAAAGTGAAGGGGACTTTCAGCCGCACTTTCTCCTTGCTGTCAAAGGTAAACAGGGCGTAAATCTTGCTGAAGAAGAAGGTTTATGTCCAGCCACCTGCAAACACTCCAGTTTTGAGGACAGTCTGCCTACACCTTGTTCCACTTAAAACATAGCACCCAGCTCAGGACCAGGCACACTGTGTTCAATTATTGGTGGTAGTGGACCCCTGGGGCCCCACACATCCAACGCCTTTTTGTCAGAGAAGCTAGTGAGTGATACATTGAAACCAGATAGCTTTTACTACAGCAACAATGTCCTGGACACCTGCAGCAGACACTGTCCTAAAATTTACCATCCTTAGTGAATATATATTTTGTGTGTGTGTGTGTGTGTGTGTGTGTGTGTGTGTGTGTATATATATATATATATATATATATATATATATATATATATTTCTTTTTTTTCAAAAGAAGCAGTCCCCCAGAGTGAGTCTGAGAGCAGGAAGTTAATTGCTCTGTTTTAAAGGGAGCCTGGTGTGGAAGGTAAGGTTCAGAGAGGACATTGTAGGGGCTGGGCACCCTGGGGTAGACAGCCATTTCATTTATTTAACACCTGAAAGAGAAGAAAAAGAGTCTTCAATTATACCTTGTCATATATAGCCTTGCCTTCCTGGCCCAGGTAGCACTCCTTTGTGAAAATGGAAGATTCTTAGCAAATTACCCAGCTGTGAGTAGTTACTGTCTTCTAAAGCAGAGTTGCTCAACCTTGCACTATTGACTTGATGGACTGGATAATTCTTTGTTATCCAGGGGCTGTTCTGTGTATTGCAAGATGTTTAGCAGACCCTGGCCCCTGCCTACTAGATAACAACAGTACCATTCCCTTAAGTTGTAACACTCAGAAATGTGTCCAGATTGCCAAATATCCCTTGAGGGGCAAAATTGCTCTCAGTTTGAACCATTTTCTAAAGGGACGAGTGTCTTTCTAGTTCCTGTACAGTGAAACATATCTGTACCTCTTTCATATGCTTTTGTTACTGCTTAGGGTCTGGAAGATACAATTCCAGCCTGTGTAGGGCAGATGACCTGCTCACCTTTCTCTGCAGAGGACACAAAGAAAGACTAGGGAGGCAGTCCCCCTCATGTTCCTATTCCAGTTGTCTATTGCCATGTGACTAAGCATAGTGAAAGAAAGCTATTACTATTTCTGGATTCTGTGGATTTTAGAAGAAATGCAGCAGGGTTGATTTTTCCCTGTTCCTGATGTCTGAGTTCCTCACGAGGGAGACACAAAGGCTATGGGTCACCCAAACCCAGGACCTGGAATTGTCCAAAGCTGTCTTCATGCACAGGCCCAGCAGTTGATGCTGGCTGTCATCAGGAACAAAACTGGGACTGTGGCCAGAACTTCTTGTGGCCTCTGCATGTGGTTTGGGCTTCCTCAGAACATGGCAGCTTCAGGGCACTCAGGTGCTTACATAGTGTCTCAGGGACCCAAAGGCTAGTATTGCAAGAGAACCAGGTGGAAACTATGTTGCCTTTTATGGCCAAGACTTAGAACTCAGTGGCATCATTTCCAATGTGGTCACAAGTCCTCCCACATGGGAGGAGTGTCAAAGTCACAGTATATGAAGGGCACATAGGCAGGGTATGTTTTTGTGGCCATCTTCCTGTTTCTTCCCTGACTTTATCTTTCTGTAGAATTTGTTGTCCATAACTCATCCCATGGGCTCTGGCTCCTGGCTCTCATCTCTCAAGCTCACTGCCCTCCTTTTATTCACCACAGAAGCTGCCCCAGAGAGCCCCGAAAGAGTGGAATAAAAACTACCCTCAGCTCTGCTAGAAGAGGATGATGCTGGAGATTTGTTGGGTGCATTCCCTCTGAATTTCATCAGTGGCTCTGAGAACCTTTTGATTCTCAATTATAGTGATCATAAAGAATAGCTAACTCTACTTTACCTTGAGAAAGCTCATTTCAAGGCAAACCACAACACCAGTTACTATGAGGTTAGCTAAACAAAAAATTGTGATACTGGTATACTTGAAATAAGATGACACATATGTCTGTACTTTTAAAGGACCATCTTAAAGCGTTACCTTGTATCTTCCAGGGACTATCAATGCAGTGCATATACAGCCTGCTTAATAAATGTTTACTGAAGAAGTATTTCTGATTTCAGTGACTGGGCATTTTATTGTACCCAATAATATCTATATTAGAGGCTTGTGAGATTTTTCTTAAGCCTGGGAGTTCCAGACAAAATAGAATTATTATATGAGTTTGTCTTCTCTTTGATGTTCATCCAAGTTCTAGTTACATTAAATAAGTTTATATGATTATCCTGCTAACTTGAAAGAGTTTCTAGGCTGTGACCACAGCAAAAAAGTTTGCTATGAATGTTTTGATCCGGTGCTGCAGGTAGTCTTTGGTGCTGATGTATGTGCAGCTCACTAGCCCTGGCTGAGAACTAGTTGGTTTTGGTAATCCAACTGTCTTTACCAAGGAGCTGCTGTGTGCTCAGAACTGTGCTAGGTGCCAGGCCCAGGTGAGCACCCAAAAGAAGGCAGTCCCTGCCCCAAACCTCAGGGTCATTTTTGCTTCCTTTGGCTCTTTTCTGTTTGTTCCAGTTGGCTACAATTGGCAGCTTTTTTCTTCTCCAGAGTCCTCTCTTTCTATTCTTCACCTTACCTGCTACAGTTTCAGTAAAGCTGTGTAACAAGCTACCCCCAAGTTCTCTGCCATACGACAGCAAGTATTTATTTACCACTCCCATGTGTGTCATCATCTGGAGCTCAGCTGAGGTTAGAGTCAAGTCTGCTCTACACACACCTCATTGTGCTCGGCCTCAGGGGTTGCAAGGCATGACATTGTCATACAAAAAGGGAGGAGCACAAAGGACAGGACCTGACTGCACAAGCACACACTAAGCCTGTGCTCATGTCATGTCTGTTAACACGCCAATGGCCAAGACAAATCATATTCCCAGTCCAACGTCAAGTTGCATGCCAGAGACAGCCCCAGGCAGAAGGAGGAGAAGGTGCAGATATTTCCTGAAGGGTAATCTCATCTATCACACCCAGTACTTTTTCTATAAATGCCATGGTCTTTCTGGCCTCTAGAGTTTTGGTGTGCTGTCCCTTTGGCCTTAAATATCCTCCCACTGTGGGCCAAACTACTCCATTCTCTGACTAATTTCTACTCATCTTTTGAGATTCCAGTCAGTGGCTGTCTTCTCTAGGGTGCCTTCCCTGATAACACCCTTAGGTTCCTTGCCTCTCCTCTGGGTCACATGACAGCTTTCACATATAAACCTCATCATACTGCATAAATGGAATTTACCTACCTTTATCTCTCCCACCACCCCATGAATGTTGACCCACGTCTTACTCACCGTTATTTCCCCAGCATGCAGCTCAGTCCTTAGAGGTTTTGAAGAGCAAATGCTTGCTGTGTTAGTGGTGCTGGATGAGGGGATTGTGACTTCTCTACACTGATGGCTCTGGAGAAGCACAGAAAGAAATGGGGCTCTGGCATTTCCAAGTGTCCAAGTGGGCAGGCCATGTGGAATGAACCATACGAGCAATCTGGGCACATCTGACTGTGTCCAAAAACTGCCATCTGCTTTCAGGGCATGTCGAGACTAGGAAATCAGTATAGACCATGTGGCTTATGTTCTGTTCTGTGTGGTATCATATCCTCATTTGCCCTTTTGCCTTTTGTTTCCCTGCTTTTCCTTACATTAGGCATAGGTTTGATTCTTGCCAGTTTGTTCGCCAAAAGACGTTTTGGGGGATCCAAGACAAGGTGGCATTGAATGGATACAGCTTTTTTTTTTTTTTAATGGAGTTTTACTCCTATTGCCCACGCTGGAGTATAATGTCATAATCTTGGCTCACTGCAACCTCCACCTCCTGGGTTCAAGCGATTCTCCTGCCTCAGCCTCCTGACTACTGGGATTGCAGGTGCCCACCACAGTGCCCAGCTAATTTTTTGCATTTTTAGTAGAGATGGGGTTTCACCATGTTGGCCAGGCTGTTCTCAAACTCCTGACCACAGGCAATCCACCCGCCTTGGCCTCCCAAAGTACTGGGATTACAGGTGTGAGCCACCGCTCCTGACTGGATATAGCTTTTTTATTTTTTAAATGCAGGGTTTGTCATTGGTGTTCGTGTGTGGATTTTTTTTTTTTTCCTGGTACAGGGCATGGAGGCATGGAGCCAGAAGCATGGAGCAGAAGGCTGTGCATGTGTGTAAAGGCAGTAGCACGTGTGGCTGCCACTCAGCTTTGTTGGGATTTTTCCAGAGGCAAATGGGAAGGTAGAGGGAACAGATTTGCTAGCTGCTTTTAATCCACTCCAGACTTCAGTTCCTTCCGAATGGAGCTGGAGATGGAAATGTATATGTTTGCCGGGTGGTACTTTAAAGTCACAGCTGCTCCTCATTTAAAGGAATCCAAAGCCTTTTACTGTGAATGATCATTCTGAAGGTAACTCAATTATCTCTGTTTGCTGGTTCAATATGGTACTCTTGGATACAATGGCCATCATCTCAGCTTACTGTGACCACGCACGGCTTCCCACGCCGGGGCTCCATCCAAAGAAGTGAATGGCGAGATTCAGAAATCTCTTCCAAATCAATACACAGAATATGAGAGATGGCAGGGGTGACACAGCCCCAAGCCCTGCTGTCTCTTTTTGTGCCATTTCCAATTCCCCTAGGTTTGCAAACATTGAGATGATTCTCTTTATCTGAAAGGTGTTTATTTTATGCCAGTTGAGTGAGCTATAAAATTCATCAGATACCACACTGTTTTAACACTTATAATTTCCTATTTGCCAAGTCCACTCAGCCACCTCACATATAATAGCCCAGGTAAATTCTTTTGGGTATTTTCATTTAGGAAAGGGCTACAGAGAGCTTAAATGAGGATGTATGGAGTAGGTACAGCATGCATCTGGCACCCTTATCTTGTTTCTGGTGATCCAGGCTCTGGTTGTTGCTTTCAGCCCACTCCGTGTATCTATAACCTGTCCTGAGCTCTGACTTCCCATGTTCCCAGCTACGCCCATTCAGATCTTGCAGGCAGTGTCCCCAGCAGTAGACACATGCTTTAAATAGAGGAGTTGTTCAATGAACTTGTGGGATGAAATTATGAGCATTAATTAAGCAAGTTTAAGAACAAGAGTCAAATATACAGAAACTCTGAACAAAGCCATTATTGATCCTTATCCAAAATTGGGACTGAAAACTTACTTTGAGTCTCTTTTCACAATCAACCTTGCCCCTCCGTAAGTGACTCTTGGCCAGTGACTCATGCATCTCAAGGTGCTCCCCTGCAACAGTGAGATAATAACAACCTTGAGGGTGGTTGGGAGGAGTGTGGGAGTGGATGGAGAGGGAACTCTATGTGGTTCTGGGTAGATGCTCCAGATTCTGGAGTAGTGGTTAGTATTGGGAACTTG